ATATCGTTTACTGTCGGAGACCCGATCATGATCCATGGAAATTAATCTCCATTAAAAACTTTCCAGCATCGATCCTCGTTACCAACCTTGACGTTTCTTAATCATGGAAAAAGCATTGCGTTTAAGGAAGGCTCAATAACAAGTATAAAAGATATCATTAAGAAATAAAATGAAAAGGAAAAAAAAAGTAATAATTATCATAGCCGATCGTTCATGTAACTGTGACTTTGCAAAGATAAAATGTTATTACGTATATATACGTAAAATTCTATAAAATGCATTCCATGGGAAAATAAATATAGTAGAAGCATTTTAAAATTAGATCACGAATCATTTGGGAATAGCCGTACAAATGGTTGATTACCTTATTCCACTCGTGAGAATTTCCAAGTAAATGGAGATTCTACATGCAGGATACGATATCAAATCTATCGGATATAACCGATCGAATACGTCTCCGTCTTATAATAATCACTGATTGACGGATTAAGAACTGTATTGGATCTACTTATACAATTTATTCATCTATACGATCTCTCGAACAAATAAAATGAATCTTATTGCATGATAATTTCACGTATATACGATCAAATTCTTACTTGAGATATGTGACATTAGGAAATATTAATAAAATTAAATAAATGTATTCAAATCGTTTTAATATTCTAATTTGCTTTTTCTTAATATAGGAATGAACGATTGTTTTTATTATTGATATCACGAGTACTTTTTAATTTAACGATCGATAGAAATCAGTTGAAATTGATTGATGAAATTTCGAAATCGTTTAAAGCGGAAGTTATAACTAATCGAAACGAGGCAATACCGCGGGATATTAGCGATAAATCAGGGTAAACGAAAATTACACCGAAGTGGATCAAATATCCGCGAATCTTCCTACGAGTTTTCCACAAATCGGGAGCTCTAGATAGGCGTACGTTTCTCGTCGTACGAGAGGTAGCAACTTTGGTGGATATATAGATTCGGTAAATCGGATGATTTGTAACAGGATATTAGGCTAGTTTCGAGTTTGATTTTGCCGTAGAAATTAGGCCGAGACGATATCATTGACCGCCAAAGCGTTAATCCCGGAAATAAACGTTGATAAAAACTTCGTGAGCCTCGTTCGTTACAACTTTTAACTATGAAACTTTCCTTTTAATTATTTTACCTATTCCGAAGACGTAGTTAGACCTAATTTAAATGGCACCATATATATATATATATATATATATATATATATATATATATATATACTTACGTATGTATGTATGTTCAAAACGTATTACTCGTACGCGGGTATCTCTGGATCGTTCAAATTCAGATATCTCGAAGTTTTTATACAAAAAAACAAATAAAGAGAGAGAGAGAGAGAGAGAAAGAGAGAGGAAGAAGAAAAAAAGCTCATAAAAAAGAGATAGAAAGAAGGAAGAACGACGGACTGAGTTTGTTCGATTAATCGAAACTACTTATTGCATGCCGTTAAAGTATAAACGAAGTTATCAAAGTTTTCGAGTCACTTTGTTAATCGGCAAGCGATGAAACAACGAGATAGGCGTCTATGCAATTTCCTTTCCTTTCTCCTTCCTTTTCTTTTTTTCTTTTCCGTTTTTCTTCTCTTTTCTCCTCTTTCTTTTTTCTTTCTTCTTTCCTTGTTTTTTTTTTCTTTTTTCTTTTTTTTTTTTTTTTTTTACTCAATCTATCAAAAGTCAGTAGAAACTCGGAGTTCCCTATTTCGTTGGTACTGAAAATGAATATTCATTGAGCTCGAAAGTGATGATAAAGACGAAATAAATTCACGGGTTCTGTCTCCACGGTTAGCTTGTCCTCGTAGCGAACGACGAATTTCGATCGCGAAATCTATTTTCTTTATAATATTCGTTCCGCGATGGAGGAAAGGAACTTTTGCGAGGAAGAAAGATTGAGGAAAATAGTTTGGGAACAGTTTGACTTACCCCTTTTATACCATGGTTCCGCTTTAAGAATACATTCTGTACTTTGTTCTCGTGAGAGAGGGGAGAGGATAGTTTGTGCGAAAGAGGACGGTATGGGAGAGAGGGTTAGAGTTGGAAGGGGGTGGGTGGGAGGGAGGAGAGGGAGGAAAAGCACTATTACTATACGAACGAAGTAATCGAGAAATATATATTCAAAGTTATTCCAACTGTTTTCTTAGCCAGAGCCCCACCGAGTTGCAGCTGCGCAAGAGTTACGATATCGGTGTCGTGGTTACGCTGACTCTATTGCAGCTTTGGCCTCGTATGCGAAAATTTAGAGGTACCATATCTGCTTCAGGGCAAGGCTAACGAAGGGCCGACTACTCTATATAGGAACGTATTGCTATGTCTATGTGTTTGGTTATGGTGTTTCTGAGTGTACCTACTGTTACCTTGTAATTCCTGTTTTACGTGCATCGCACGAATTCAAGAGTGTTAACAGTGAGATGAGAGAGAGAGAGAGATAGATAGATAGATAGATAGATAGTTTAAGAGAAAGAGAAAGAGAGAGAGAGAGAAATAGATAGATAGATAGATAGTTAAAGAGAGAGAGAGAGAGAGAGAGAGAGAGAAAGAGAAAAAGAAAGAGAGAGAGAGAGAGAGAAAGAGAAAGAGAAAGAGAGAGAGAGAGAGAGAAAGAGAATCAACAAGACGATTATCGAAATGTTTCTGTAAAGCTGCTATAGAGCCACTGATCATTGATAAACTTAAACACTCCTTCCATTGATCGGACAACAATGATGATCCGAGTAACGTTGTTTAGTTTAGCCCTAACTCGTGCTGGTTAATCGATTCAGAAATGAACTCGAGTTCCTTCCTCGATCAGTGTTTCTCACTCGATCGGGCCGACGGAATAAGCTCTTGGGAACTGGTTTGATCGAACGTTCTAATTCCTATATTTCAAATCTATAAGGATAACCAACTGATAATCCTTTGTCCTTTGTTAGAAGATCGGATCCCTAATTGCGAAGAAGAGCAGATCGTTCGTCTCGTTGAACGAACGCCGACGAACGCCGACGAACGATTGAACGACGGCCTCTTAGTCGAACGCAGCCCATTTCATCCTGAAAGAACAGTTAAACGTAGATTTTTGCGTCAACATGCAGGTGGGTGCGTTCGTTCCGTTCCACTTGCCGCATGCAATTTGGTGCTCGAGCTAAAGGCAAATCGTTAGACGCTCAATCGTTCATTCCACGAGGCAGAAAGAGTGAGAGAAAGATAGTTATGGTTCAATGAAGAAATGGAGAGAGAGAGAGAGATAGATAGATAGATAGATAGAGAGATAGAAAGAGAGGGAGAGAGAGAGAAATTTTCAATGGAGAATAATTATTGCTATTTCCTTTACTAGCTGCATCGTCATGAGGAAGTCGTTACTTGCAAAGATAGCAATAATTATCTCCGTTATTTATGTTAAAGGGATGAGAGAAGATGAGAAGAAAAAGAAGAAGAAGAAGAAAAATGACGATGACGATGATGATGATGATGATGATGATGGTGGTGATGATGATGATGATGATGATGATGATGATGATGATGATGATGATGATGATGATGATGATGATGATGATGAAGAGGAAGAGATATTACAAAACAAAAAGAAGATCCGGGAATATTACTTGTCGACTGACAAGTTCGGTGATCGGTTCTTTCTTTCTCTTTTGTTTTATTTTTTTTTCACCGAGTCACTTGATTGATTTTAATTATTGATTAATTTGTAATGAAACGACGATAATAAGAAAAATAGATAGATAGATAGATAGATAGATAGATAGATAGATAGATAGATAGATAGGAATGATAATATGGCAAGATATATAGTGACGGTGATCATGAGAGGAGCGAAGATCATTGCGTGCATGTGCAGTAATCATTGGTGTACCTATATTCAGGCTTGCTTCATATACATATACATACATACATACATACATATATATATATATACATATATATATATATATAACTGTGAGCATGTATAGTCACGCGTGAAACTATATAATATATATATACAAGATATGTACAAACTCGTAAATGCCCTCCTAACTAATCACAGGTGAATATATGAGGAAGAACGTCGGCGAATTTAAAACGAAAAAAAAAAAAAGAAATTGATTATAGATAAATATAAAATGATTGAAATTTATACTCGCATGGATTTTCGCCGATTTTCTTCCTTTTCGTGCCACGCGTATTGGATCGAGATAAAGAGAGAGAGAGAGAGAGAGAGAGAGAGAGAGAGAGAGAGAGAGAGAGAGAGAGAGAGAGGGGACAGAGATAGAGACAGAGAGAGAGAGATAGAGAGAAAGAGAGAGAGAGAGAGAGGGAGAGAGAGAGAGAAAGATATATATATATATATTACAGGCAGAGAAAGAGTGAGACAGAGGGATAGGGATAAGGAAAATAGAAATAGACAATATTCGAGTCGCAGGGGCACGTGTAGAGCTCGAGAAGAAAAGTTGGTGCAGTGGTGATCGTTCCTTCGCTAAGAAGCTAAGTTTTCGCGTGAGATTTAGCCAATTATATATATATATATATATATATATATATATATATATATATATATATATATAGATAGATAAATATATATATATATTATATTATATTAATATATATATAGACAGAGGTGCGTGTCAGGTGAACGATAGACGGCCGAGCCAATAAGCGAGTCAGAGCCACTGCTCTCTTTTCTATTTTTTTTTTTTTTTTTTTCGTTCTTAACTCTTTCTTTTACGTTTCTTTTTATCTTCTCTCTCCCTTTTTTTTTCTTTCTTATATTTTGTTTGTTTATCCGTTCTTTTTTTTTTTTTTTTTTTTTTTTTTTTTTTTTTTTTTTTTTTTATCTATTTATTTTTTTCTTTTTTTTTTTTAACATTTACGTATGTGTTTCGTCTGTTCTTTCTTTTTTTTTTTTTCTTTTTTTCTCTAAAGCTTTTACATTTTTTGTTTTGTTTTGTTTTTTTGATTTTTAATTCGTTTCATTCGAAAGCTTTGGTGGATACTGAGGCTTACCAGGTGGGACTCTGAGCTGGTGAAGGTGACCACGGCGCCGTGAAGTCGCCTCGCGTTTACCGAAGTCGCCGCAGCCTTCTTAAACCCGGTCCAATAGCGTGTGCGTGCGTGCGTGTCAGCCCCAAATTCACGTCACCACGAATGGGCGCACGTGCGAGAAGAGAGTTCGGGGGAGGAGAAAGAGAGATAGAGAGAGATGATAGCAACAATCGGAGAATCGGCTTTTAGAATGATCGTTTTCGCCTAAACCGAGGGTATGCCATTTGGTATGGGTTTGAAAAGGGGCTGTTTTTTTTTCTTTTTCTTTTTTTTTTTTTTTCTTTTCTTTTCTTTTCTTTTCTTTTCTTTTTTCGAAGGTTCCCTCGCGAAGTTTTACTACTTGCTCATGTTTTTTCTTTTTTTTGTTTCTTTCTTTTTCTTTTGTTCTTTTTTTTTTTGCAACTATCAAGGTAAACAGAGAGGAAACGATAGATGGACGATTGGACAAGGTATGTATGTATATATATATATATATATTTTTTTTTTGTTGTATATATATGTATATAGGAAAAAGTTACAGCTAATAGTTTGATTCGATCACCGAGACTATTAGAAACGGAAAAAGGAAAAAAAACAATAAATAAATAAATAAATAAATAAATAAATAAATAAATAAATAAAAGAAATATTCTTTCTCGATGAGATCGATCGAACCTGTAAATTGTTTCCTATCGGGAAATATGAGAGGTACATATAATGTAAAATATATCTAATATCGGATCCTGTAAAACAAATTTAATTAGCCAACGCGTCGTGGAATGAAAATGGAATTATATACATGTGGAATTATCTTCGTACGATCGTTTCTTTTTTTCTTTTTTTCTTTTTTTTTCTTTTTTCTTTTTGATAAAATTTTCAATTGATTTTAACGATTACAGAATCATCATGAGCTTCGTTTAGATTAATATAATCTACATATATGGTCGTGACATGATATGTATGCATGTATGTTGGATATAATTAGATGAGAGATGGGTGTTTATACGTATAATAAATGTATGTTTGTATGTATACGATCGAAATGAAGAAGTTTCGGTTTGACGATCGAATCGAGTCGTAAAGTACAAATAACGTACAAGTAACACGTTATTAACACGTTGAATGCCGCGCATATAGATCATACTCTGTACGATCGTGAAATGTCGTAAAATAGAAAAAAAAACAAAACAAAAAAAAAATAATAAAAACTAAAAAGAATGAAAAAAAAAGAAAAAATAAAAAATAAAAAATGAACAATAGATTCTTTCCAACGTCAAACGTGTATCTTGAGATCACGTTCAACCGTTTTTTAGTCTTTTTTTTTTTTTTAATTAAAAAAAAATATACCTTCATCCATCGAAATATCAATAACATCAAAAATACGGTAATAATATGATGATAATAATAGTTACATTTATTACGATTGTATGGCGTATAAATGCAATAATAATTATTGTTCATATTACACCATTTTCTGTCCAGTAATTATCTTTTTTTTTCTTTTCTTTTGTCTCTTTTTTTTCTTTTTTTTTTTTTCTTTTTTTGTATAAATTTTAACTCATTAAGTTTTTAAACGTTTTCAAGAGTTTTCTAACGTGGATCGTGCGATCAGAACGGAATGTTACAATGAAAAAAATAATCCGTCATTCAACGTGTTAAAACGAATTAAATATCCTCGCAATATTGCTTGACAATATATCTGACATCTCGTTTCGCATGAAAGGACAAGTTTCAAGAGGAACAAAGTTATCAATGATTTTCCTCTACGTCTTGCGTTTATCCTCGATATTTTCTTCGTGTGAAATTTACGTTCAGTTTTAATTTTAACCCCTTCGTAAAATGATAGAAAAGTTTGAAGCCACTCCAGGCCGGAGATTAAAATCAATAAACTATGATAAAGAGAAGAACAGATAGAGAGATAGATAAATAGATATATATATATATATATATATATATATATATATATATATATATAGAGAGAGAGAGAGAGAGAGAGAGAGAGAGAGAGAGGAGTGTGGCAGAAAGACAAAGGCAAATAGAGAGACAAAGAGAAAGAGTGGGAGGGGTGGATAAAAGAATGGCATAAAATAACGCGATATCGTGAAAATCTTTTATTGATCGTTTTATACGTTACGAGCGATGGCCGATGAACGAACGATCTCAGAAAAATTTAATTTTCTCTCGTGTGTACGTACGAATGATGTTCCCCGATCGTTTCGATTTTCGATATGGTGATTATAAGTGAACACGAAATAAAATTTAAATATAAAGAGTATCAATGTTCCGCTTACGTATCGATTTTATCACTTTTTTCTTCGTTCTTTTTTCTTCTCCTTTACTTCCTTCTTTTCATTTTATCTCTTGCAAGGATCGACAAATCGAAAAAGATAACGATCGAGTACTCGCGATAATAGGAGCGAGACAGAAAGAAAAACAAAATGTCAGAGATAGACAGATAGATAGATAGATAGATAGATAGATAAATAGATAGATAGATAGATAGATAGATAGAAAGCACGAGATATCTCGAGTATCTTCTAAGAGGTTTCAGTTGCTCGAAACTTTCTCTTGTATGCCTTGTAATATTGTGTCGTGAGAGCCCACATTAATAAGAGAGGTTTCGTCAATGTGGTTGTACAACAGTGTGATGCAACCCTTATTGCGAAACTTGTCTCATCAAGGGATTTTGTTTCTCAAACGGTGTCGCGAATCGATATCAAAGAGGGTTAGAGGATGTAATGGGGAGAAGGGGGTGGGGGGATAGGGAGTACGAAGAGAGTGGAAGTGGGAAGGGATAGGGGGATGGTAGAAGGTGGTTGAGAAAGGAAATAAAAATTCAATGGGGAAGTAAAAGTGAGAACTCGATCGAAAATTAAAACGAGATCCTTCAAACTTTATGTTAATTTCCTAACGTCACGTTCGAAACCGTGGACGCATTTCAATCGACCACCCCCTATCCTCAACCTCAAACCCCCAACCATCCCATCCTCCACCTCTTCCCATCTCGGCCCACATTCAACCCACCTATCCATCTAACCCATTTATCCTTTCTATCCCAAGATCGATCAACATCTATTTCTAATGAAAATAATTATGATTGTCAATTGGTATTCATTGATAACGATGAAATTCATTTTTCGATTTATATATCGAATTTCGACAAGGAAATTATATTATTCAGGATCTCTAAAATGATGGTTTTGGTAGAGGAAAAGAATGGTATTGAAATTTCCATAAAAATGTTTGTCCTATCTAATATCTCTCTCTCTCCCCTCATTTTTTTTCTTTTTTTTTTTGTTTTTCCTCTTATTTCCTGCGTCAAAACTCTATTTCTCCGTTTCAGCAATTATTTTCTATACAGTACAAAAATTTATGGTATGCTTATTTATATTTATGATATGTATTTTGAATATAGATACCTACTAACTTATTTTTTTAATTTTGCACGAATCCGTTCGTTTTGATCATTTAAATATAATATACATATGTCTTAAATCGACACGAAACGAAACGATCTATTGTTCCACGTTGAAAGGGAGTAATAAAAGGAAGAAAAAATAAAAAGGAGAATAATTGAATTGAATGTGAGCGCAAACAATACAATAGATGCGTTACGTTCTACATACATGTATCTGTTCACATATATATATATATATATTATAAATATATATATATGTGTGTGTGTGTACATAAATATACACAATATATGAGCATTTATGTATTTACGTGTGTATGTACATAACGTAAGTATGCATGCATGCATTCAGGTATGAATGTATTATATTTATATATATATATATATATATATATATATATATATATATATATATATATGCATACATGCGTACGTATAGTAGAAGCGTACAGTTTTCACCCCACGGACTCGTTCGTTACGTAACAGCTGTGAGCTAATAATGAATATGAAATACTCGCTTTCCGAGTCCGGTACTTCCGGTTTTTGAATTACGCGTCCCATTATTGCATTACGTCTAAAAATAGTTGCATTCGTTGCTAACGAAGATACCACGGATAACTTCGATTCGATAAACAAAAGAAAATGAAATAGTGCAGAAAAAGAAAACAAAGAGAAAAAGAGAGGAAGAGAGAGAGAGAGAGAGAGAAAGAGAGAGAGAGAGAACGAGAGTAAGAGAAAGAAATATTAATTTCAATTTTCTCTCTCTCTCTCTCTCTCTCTCTCTCTCTTTTTTTGAAGCACGAAACAAATAATTTCGTTGAAAAATATTTTGCATGAAAAACTATATCTTCCCAAGCCAGAATGTTATCGTAGTCTTATGCTTCTCACTTTAAAATCACGACCTTCGAAATTTCGTCGTCGGTACTTCTATATGTCGATCCACCTTTTAATTAACGCTTTACCTTCTTGAATTCACGCTGGTACTTCTTTAATTAACCGGCCTACCTTTCTCTCCCTCTCTCTTTCTCTCTCTCTCTCTCTCTCCAGTGTTTCCCAAGAGTTAATTGCCCAAATTAACAACGGGAATTTAATTGACCAGTCTTTAGCTTCTCTTCTATATTCCATTCTTCTTGTTCTTCTTCTCTTTCTCTCTCTCTCTCTCTCTCTCTCTCACACACACACACACACACACACACATACACATATACACACGCACACTCTTTCCCTATAGACTCACTTAATTTTCCAGTCTCCTGATACTCGAATGCCTTTCTTTCTTTTTTCCCTTCTTTTTCTTTTATTCTTTATTTTTTTTTTTCTGGGTGGAGGAGTTTCTTCTCCCTCTCTCTCTCTCTCTCTCTCTCTCTCTTTCTCTCTCTCTTTCACACGCTTTTTTTTCTTATTTTTTTCCTTTTAATTCACGCCTAACAACGTATAATTATCATCTATCGTTAGTAATGTTCGCTTCAAGTATGATGACGATCGATCTCGGTAAAACTCATGAGAGTTGGTAAACTTTTGGGAAAATTCGCGAAAGCTCATGCGGTTCACGTTGGAAAATGGTCGAGTTCGCGAACTAGGAAATTCGTAATTGGTTATTACATTCTCCCTTATTTCTTTTCTCTCTCTCTCTCTCTCTCTCTCT